CATGGGGAAGAAAGGTAGAAGCATAGGGAAGAGTGGAAGTGAAAAAAGAAATCTACATTATTAAGAGAAGAGGGCTTGTCAACTTTTTGCCCCATTTTCTTTCAATTTTGCCCTCACTTTTGAATACACAATGTTGGCATGAGGACCACAAAATAGTAATTTTGTGTCTTTTGAACTTTTTCCCCTTTTTTCCTATTTTGCCCTCACTTTTGGTACACAATATTTACATAAGGAGGGCAAAATAGTATTTTTTTTATAGAAATATTTACATAAGATAAAAAATATGCACTTATTAAGTGAAATTGTCCCACCATCATTTTTTCATGCATGTAAGTGAAATCAAGATGTTTTTTGGATAGTTTGAATGAACTGAAGCAATTGCGCTTGAGGAGAACGTGGGAGGGCAAAATAGGAAAAAAGGGGGAAAAATTTGACAAGGAGGCTTCTCTTAATAATAGTATAAAAAAATGTACTTATTAAGAGAAATTGTTCACAAACACACACACAAAGTGTGTGCTCACTGCTAGTAATAAAGAAAGCTAAGGAAATGGACGTGATGATTAAAAACAAGAGGATCTGCTACATTTAAAAAGAAGTCATGGAATGGGATTTCCAATCCCAATTTAAAAATTAAACGTGGGTCCCACCACTCAATTATAGCTATAGGGTAGAAAATATAAACTTTCAAATGTATTTCTTGCAAAAAGAAGAGTAACTACATCACAAAGACTCTAAATTCAATTCCGCTTGCATCCATGAGTTCGTAAAAATGAGCACTATTTAGAAATAGTAAAGTAAAAGTGGGAAGTGAAAGGAAAATTGAGGTCCACGTGGAAGGCCTACATGGCATCTCAGGGGCATCGTGATAATTTCACTACTACTAAGAATAAAATACAATAAATTTCGGAATGGGATGTCACAATCTACCTCCTTAAGAAAATTTAATCCTCGAAATTAAAACAAAAGAATTTAATCAAAGAAGAAGTACGTATACAAATCTCTCACATGTTTCTCCATTTCCCATGCAGCCTCTTCAACAGAGTGGTTGTGAGACCTTGAATTTTTAAAGTACTTAGAAAGTGTTGTTATGAATTTTGAACTGCCTTCGAATTTTACAATTTACAATTCATTTTGAATTGTTGATAATTTTACATGAGATCAAGGGTTATTTTGAGGTGATAGGTTGAAAGTAGATGAGACCATGAGTTTGTAGCATTTTTAGAATTATTTTTCGGATATTGAATGAAATTTTTATGAGATTTAAAGCCGAATGAATGTTGGAAAGCCACGTGAACGCCAAGGTATGGATGACTTGCCACGTGGACAATAGCTAGAATGATCAACAAGGAAAGGGCTGATGGTGGTGGCAATACACCATGACAACACATGGTTATAAGAACCGAAAGATAAGAACAAAGCAAAAGGAAAAGTGATTAGATTTCCATATTGCTTGACACATGGCAAGCACCTATTGGACCTCTGAAATTGAAGAGGTGAGGCGGCAAGCTTGGAAGATTATAAATATTCTTCCTCATTCAATGCTGCAAGCTGAAACGAAAACAGCAATAGGAAAAATTTCCTTCAATCTTTCGAAATTCATAACTTTCAATTCAGGAATCCGACTGAGGAATGGTTTTTGCCTACATGCTCAGTGAATCAAACCCAATGTTCAAAGGTAAATTTTGAGAATTATTACTTAAGTTTGAATAATTCGTTCAGATTGGGATTTGTGACTAATTAGACTAAAATCTTCGATTTTAAGCTTGTTCTTGCACGATTTGAGGGCTTTGAAGCCTATTTGGTGACTGGAGAACAATTTCTAAGACATTAAGGTAAAGATTTACACATAATCAAATTGCTGGGATTTTATACAAGTTTCATTTGAATGAGATATAGAAGAATATGATGTTTGATTCAAAATACTTTGAATTTAGACTTTAAAGGACGTTTGTATGAAACAAATGAGTTGTACTATTGATAGATTGTGTTTTGTCTTGGGATATATGTTGAAATTCTGGGAAAAATAGATCTCAAAGCCATTGGTTTTCATAACAGGGACTGAACTGCGAAAACATTTTTGGTATTACTGCAATTGTGTAATTTTCAAAAAGTTAGGGGCCAAAGTGCAATTATCAAAAGTTTGGGGACCTATTTCAAATAATAAAAAGTTCAAATACAAAATTTTTATTCTGGTTAAGTGAAGGTCCCTATTGGATATAATTGTTGTTATGGAATAAAGTTGAGTCATTATATATGGACATATAGTGACATATTGTAATTGTTGAACTATGGACTCCAATAACTCATTGTGCTTGCATTTAATCAAGGTATTGGTGAGGAATATTGATTGCTTGGCTTGGAGTCCAAGTAGGGGAATCCTCACTTACCCTAGTTATGGAGTTTTGTGAATGTACGTATATGTAAATATACGAAGGCCTATGAAAGCTGCATATATTTTGCTGTGATAGAACCATGAGGAAAAATGGTTTTGTTTTATATCATGATATGCATGTTGTTTTATGCTACAAATTAAAGTGATGAGAGTGAAGCGGGCATAGCGACCGCCTTGGGTTTCAATCCCCTAAACCTCCGGTGGGGCTACTACTAAGGGATTAGTACCGCTACCTTTCTAGGAAAGGTACTAGGATATTTAAAGGTAGAGCATTAAAGGACACTCTTGCTACACCTTACCATAAGTATGTTTGTTCGAAGTTGGTCCAGGTAAGGGGGTAGTTGGTCATTGGACTGGTTATCAGGCATGTAGCGATTTATTAGGATCTCTGTTTTCTTTAAAAAGGAAATTGTGTGTGCATATAGTCTATTTTCAAAATTAAACAAAGCTTTTGTTGTGCATCAATCATTTCGCTGGGTGGATTCCCTCGCTGGGTGGATTCCCTATTTTCAAACCTAGCTGGGTGGATTCCCTGAGGGGGAGCGATGAACGTTTGTGATGCTCACCCCTACTTTATTACAGGACCGGTGCACCTACAATTAGACTATATGCTTGACTTTCCACATGTTTGTTACTTGTCAACTTCTTAGTTGCTAATTGGCTTTCCACATGTTTTTGTTTGTACATATGCTTGATTCCCTCAATCTTGAAGGAATCTTTTATAGCTAAACTTAGCGCTTTGTACTTTCCAAATCGTACCTAAGAGTTGGTTTTGTTGTTAATTGTAAACTTCATCCTTAATGACAAAAAGAAATTATCAATTCAGTTGCCTTTTTATTCTTCGTTTTGCCAAAATGATTTCTGCTTCCGTACTGCTTAAAAATAAATGATTTTACTTCCCCTCAAATAGCCTTAAGTTCTGTTAGGAATGTAGTGTTATAGTGTTGGAATTTAACACTATAGTATTGCGCTACTAATAGAGCGTGGCACTATTATGTGCCCCTTTTTGGGGCGTGATAGAAAAATGGTATCAGAGCAACAGTTGATCCACTTCTAAAGATTTTTGTTGTTCCTGTTTATTTTAAATCGTTATGGTTCGAAAAAGAGTTTTGAATTCCACTTTCGATTTGAGTTTTGGATTGACTTTGCCTTGCCCTTTCAATTGAAACTTCTACTTCATCTGTTGTTGAGTCAAATCTTGAATGAGTTGTTGAGTCAATATCTCTCATTTCAGTTCATATTCGGTTGACAAGATGCCTAGTCATTCGACAAGTCCAAAAGAAAACAGGGCATCGTTTGATGCACAACAAATAGCATAAATGTTTAGGAGTTTTGAATCATCGATGAATGCTTATATGCGCACTAATGAGAAATGTGCGCATGACCGATAGATGTCTTATCTCGATCCTTTTGAAAAATAAGCCGCTCAAGTTTTGGGGAGCGCCTAAAGCTGAAAAAGCTGAGAGTTGGTTGGAACATATTAAGAAGAAGATGAGAACTGTTCATGTACCACTATAACTTCAAGTTAATCTAGCTTCACCTGTCTTCAAAGGTGAAGCAGATTTATGGTGGGGTACTATACGTGCTCAATATAACATCGAAGAGATGAATTTTGATGATTTTGAGTAACTTTTTCTCAAGCGTTACTTTCCTGATGCAATGAAGCATACTAAGATTCAAGAAATTCTTGATCTTAAGGAAGGGAATGTGACTGTAGCTGAGTATGTCACCAAATTTATTGAGTTGTGTAAGTACTCTGATGGTATTGCTAATGATTAGAAGACAACGGAAATTAAGTTCAGACAAGGGTTTAAAGACTTTATCTGAAGGCATATTGTAGGTCAAGGACCTAAAACTTATCATGAAATTGTGGAAGCAGTTTACGAGTTAGAGTAAGATTAATATAAAGGGTCAGGATTGAGAAAAATGAATAGGAAGTTTTTGAGGAACCAGAATGGAGTAGTAGTGGCAGTGGTGGATATAGATGTAGAAGGCCAGGACCTATTGAATGTTATAATTGCCATGAATTTGGATATACTAGAGATAAATGCACCAGTTGCATTTATGTATCTCATGAATCGAGTATTCCAACCTTATTTGGATAAGTTTGTTATTGTTTTCTATTGATAATATCCTTATTGATTCTAAGACTCAAAAGAAGCATGAAATGCATCTCCATATAGTTTTACAGATTTTAATGGACAACTAGTTGTATGCTAAGAAGTCGAAGTGTGATTTCTGGCTAACACAAATACAATTCCTTGGACATGTGATATCTGGAGATGGAAGATGTGTGGATCCCAATAAGATAGAAGCGGTATTGAACTGGGGGCAACCTAAAAGTGTTTCAGAGATACAAAGCTTTCTTGGATTAGTTGGCTATTATAGAAGAGTTGTAGCTTATGCTTCAAAGACAGTTAAAGAATTACGAGAGGAATTATCCAACACGTGACTTGGAGCTAGCTACCGTAGTACATGCATTGAAGATTTGGAGATGTTCTTTGTACGGCAGTAAGTTCAATGTTTATTCTGATCACAAAAGTCTTAAGTATATATTTACTCCACGTTATTTGAATTTGAGGCAAAGAAGATGGGTGGAGTACATAAAGGATTATAATTTTGAATTGTTCTATCATCATGGGAAAGAAAATGTAGTTGTTGATGCTAAGTACAAAGACCAGGAGCACTTTGTCTTGTCTGATGTTGGTGGATAAACAGATGTTTGATACAATACAAGATTATGATCTAGAGGTGCAACATGATGACATAAGTGCTTATTTGGTGAATCTTAGTCTAGCACCTCAGTTGGATCAATATATAAAGCAGAAACAACATGAAGATTCTGAACTACAAAAAGTAAGGCAGAAGATAGTTTCAGAAGAAGCACTTAATGAATGGAAGCTTCATGAAAATGGTAGTGTGAGGTACAAAGACTGACTGATTGTACCTGAGAATGAAGAAGTCAAAAAGAAAATATTAGATGAAGCTCATAAAACGTAGTTCGCTATGCATCCTAGAAGTACTAAAATGTACAAGGATTTGAAAAGGCAATATTGGTGGAAAGGTATGAAGCATGATGTTGCTATTTATGTTGGACTGCCAACAAAAGGAAGAACACCAGAAGCTGTTTGGAATGCTACCATCACTACCGATCCCATAATGGAAATGGGACAATATCACGATGGATTTTATTACCGGCTTACAAAGATCAAAGAAAGAACAAAATGGTATTTGGGTGATAGTTTATAGACTTACTAAAGTAGCTCACTTTTTACCTGTAAAGACGAATTGGTCTATCGGTTATTTCACCGAATTGTATATTGAATGGATTGTTCGATTACATGGAATTCCAAAGACAATAGTCTCAAATCGAGATCCGAGATTCACATCATGGCTTTGGAATAAATTACAAGATGAGCTTGGAACTCACCTTGATTTAAGTACAACTTATCATCTGCGGACTGATGGATAGTCAGAGCGAGTAATTCAAGTATTGGAGGATATGCTTTGTACATGCAAATTTGATTGGGAAATGAAATATCTTAGAAACCGGGTTATGAAATGTAAATGACAATACCATGGACTTGAAGAACCAACTTGGAAATAGGAATCCGACATTTAGATATCCACGTACATTTTTAGAATAGTTCACTACTTAGTGGCATGATGGGAAAGTATTGGCTATCTGTTTCTTTTGATATTCATGTAATCATTGTCATTTGCTCGAGTTAAGGGACCGACTGGCCACCGGATCTTTGATACTCTACAGTGGAATGTTCATTGATTTAAGGAATATAAAAAATTTAATGGATATGATGCTAAGAAAATTGTTCAAAGGTACCCATAATTTTCTTGAGAGTTTATGTGTGTTCGACTAAGTGTTAAATGCGAGTATGCGTAATCAGCACACTTAAGATTTCGAACTTGCCTTGGAAACGACAGTTCGATCAAAGGTGGAAACTCTGGACTTGTTAATAATTCAGTCTTTAAAGTAAATCTCGAGGATAAGATTTGTTTCAAGGAGAGTGGAATGTGAGACCTTGAATTTTTAAAGTACGTAGAAAGTGTTGTTATGAGTTTTGAAATGTCTTCGAATTTTACAATTTACAATTCATTTTGAATGGGTGATAATTGTACATGAGATCAAGGGTTATTTTGAGGTGATAGGTTGAAAGTAGGCAAGGCCACGAGTTTGTAGCATTTTTCGAATTATTTTTCGGAGCTCGAATGAATTTTTTATGAGATTTAAAGCCTGATGAATGTTAGAAAGCCAAGTGGACGCCAAGGTATGGATGACTTGCCACGTGGACAGCAGCTAGAACGACTAGCAAGGAAAGGGCTGATGTTGGTGTGAATACACCATGACAACACATGGTTATAAGAACCGAAAGATACAAACAAAGCAAAAGGAAAAGAGATTAGATTTCCATATTGCTTGACACATGGAAAGCACCTATAGGACCTTTGAAATTGAAGAGGTGAGGTGGCAAGCTTGGAAGATTATAAATATTCTTCCTCATTCAGTGAAGTATCAATGTAGATTTCGAAATTATTGGTGTCATCGAAAAACATAAGAACAATAGTCGAAAAGACACAACACCTTAGTTGTTAGAAACTTATTCACATCCATTTGTCAAACGAAACTAACCTATTTGTTGGTCAACTTTGTAAGGAATAAGGCTATGGCGGAGAAATTTAACACATACTATTAATGGTAATCGAAAAGACCAAGGATACCTCGTATTTCACAAAACCTTGTGGAGATTTCCAATTTTTTTTATTTTTTATTTTTTACAACTACAACAGTTTTAGGGATTGACAAGAATGTCATCTGTTGAGGTCTCCCAAAAAGAAACATAATCTAAACAAATCCGACATTTGGGGAATTTAGTGTAGAGTTAATTTGCTTTGAAATTGCTTAGATCACATGATCAATGTTTAGAAAGTTTAACTTCATTATTGGAGTAAACAAGGAAATTCTTGATCAGGTTATCACGAATCTTTCAGGACATGGGTGGAATGCACGGTCTGTCAGGTTCAAGAATGATATTGGAGCATTCGTCAACCTGCATGACATCACAAGGAACTCATAATGAACATGTCGAGTCTTGAACGCAGTCTTAGGAACATTATCATTTCTGATCTTCAACTGGTTGCAACAAAACTTCATATCAATCTTGAAGAAAGCTCGGTTTCTATAGAGTTGGTCAGAGAGATTTTCAATTCAAGATATGGATTAATGGTTTTTAATCATCACCCAATTGAATTGTTAGTAAACAATGTACAATCTTAAGGTTCGGTCCTTGCTCTTCATGAATGGAAGTAGAGGTCTCTACGATGAATGTTCAAGGAAAATAGGTGTTATATGTGGATGTAGACCAATGGTGCCTTACACATCTCAATCTAGTGGTATCACAGGTAGATATTTAGGAATGATGTCAGGAATTTAGTTTGACTGGGTTCACAATTTCTAGCTACTGGATTGTCGTCTTTCTCTACAACACGTGCTAATAAGCCTTCATAACTTTTCTCAATAAATGTTTTGCTTTATGGCGGGGATTAAGTTGTGCTTCAATTTCTGATGTTTGCCAGTGAAGCTGACCATAGGGATGACAAGTCGTCGAAAAATGACTACTTTAGGTCGATGCTCCAGTAAAGGAATAATAATAATGTAGTTGACCCATCTCTTGGATTATATGGAATCCCATGATATCCAACAAAATAAGATTAACTGGCATTACCGAATTGGTAATAGAAACGGTGCAACCACTACACTCACACTGGACATAATAGACTTGCCTTATGGCATTGGAGTTCTTGAGACATACCCGACTAAGGTACCATGTGATTGAAGTATTTAAACAAACAAGGATAATATGACTGTTGGAAATGTGCCCTAAAACCAATCATATGATGATACTTTACGGACATTGCACATGTTAAACTAATCTAGTTTAATATCAAGGGCAAAGATTATTGTTTTAAGCCGTCTCATATAAATGTTATATGCTTAAACGATAAGTCCAAGGAATATGTATTTAGGAGAATGTAATTTAAACAAGTTAGATTTATGAGACCATTCTCTTTCTTATATATCCTAAACGTTCCTGATCATAGGATTGCCAATTGGGCATTGACAGTCCATTAAGATCAGTACGTGCTATGTCTTCTCTCATGGAGAGTGACTGGTCTCGAGTCATTGGTGTGATTGACACCAAGACAAGTACGTAGGTGCTCAATAAGGAATGAGTTCACTGAACACGATCAACGAAGAGTTCTCATACTCATGTCACATGAGAACTCATGGTTGGGATAATGCAAAGTAGTCCTTTGACCTGAGGCATCATAGTTGTCTTGTGGTTAGGTCCTTGATCTTTGATTATGTCAAAGTCACTCCATTCGCGGGTGTCCACGACATAGTTGGGGTTAAGCCACTTAGCCATGGAGGCAAGTGAATGCGCAACAAGGGATCTCTAACCTTCAAACCGTTTGAGGGAGAATACTCTATGATATGATTAAGAATCTCTGGCCAGAGTATGAATGAGATTTAGGAAGTCATTCCAAATCACATTCAAGGTAATCATATAAGTAAATGAATCACATTGGATAGTAGACATGAATAAACTATCAATCCAAACAATGTGGTCAAGAGTATTGTATTAGAGAAAGACCGTATTGCATTGTAATCCTAAACTGAATAGGTTCTCCACCTCTTCTGATTAGCCTGGGTAACCATGACATACTGCTAGGTGTCACTCTGTTCACTGGTTTGTTTGGAAGCCCTAAACGTGTATAATCACTAAAGGGAGAATTGAAAGTAAGTTTCAATTCACAATCGATTTGAAAGAGTTCTAATCGCCCACTGCCTTGCTAAAAGGAACCTAATGGATCGTACACCATGTAAGGTAGAGATTGAAGAAACAACGGAGATGAGTAAGGATAATTAAATGGTTTAATTATTTATTTATGGCTAGAATTAATTAATATGTTAATTAATCAAACGAATAAGTTCGTTATAGACCTAGGGTTAGTTTTGGGCCGCAAGGCCCAAAGGGATTTGAATGTCAAGCCCATTAACTCAAGTTGTATGACAACTTGAATAAACAAAGGGCTTGAAAGCCCCAATAAACCCTTAAGGCCGGCCATTTAGAGGAGGGTAGTGAACTTGCTTTAATTACAAGTTTGCCACTCTAATGAAGGAAGGTATAAATATGACTTTATAGCCAAAATTCATTTAGGGTTTTCTTTTGGGGAAAGGATGAGAACACAAGCTCTCTTTTCTCTCTAAAGAGGCCGGCCACCCTAGAGGAAAATAGCTAGCAATCTTACTTCCTCTAGGTCACTCATTTCTTCTTAAAATCTTACCTTGGTGTGGAGACTTAGAGGTTCTCAATTTTGAGAACTTGGAGAAACCTATACTTCCATCCAAATCCATGGATCTAAGAAGCAAGGAATGAAGGCCCTATCTCTTGGGTGATTATCCTTTGCTTATGCAAAGAGGAATCAACAAAGGTATAATTTCTCAACTCACTTTGTTTTGAGTTGAGTCTTGGTTCACCTAACTACTAGGCTTTGAATTTAATGGGTAATTTTTTGTTTTTTAGTGCATGCAAGCATGATTCCGCCTTTTAATTGTTAATTGCATGCTATAAATGTTGCTCAAATGAACATGTTTTTCACAAAATTTCCTTCAATGACTGACTAGTGGTTAATGTCGATGACATGACTACGAGTTTGGTGTTCTCCTGCAAGGCTTACTCCTAAGTTTTCACGATGGTGTGTGATGTCGGTCGTGTTGCTACTTAATGTCTCTATGGTATTCTAGTAATGTCTGTCTCCATGGAACAGTGAGCCGGTGTCCTAGCAATGATATGATATCCATATACTGCATTATATTTTCAATATAAAGAAATCATTCCACCTAAATAATGGATGATAGTTTTCGGA